TGAAGCCATCGGCTGCTCCTGAGTAGCACAACCGTTATGAACACCTTGTACTCGGCCATCCGTTCATGTTCGGCTGCGGCTTACATCCATCCAGTCTTCCGTGAGCAGTCGGGCCGACAATCAGAGGCACCTAGACCGTGCCCAGAGTCTGGTATCGCGCAGCGTCAAGACTTCTGTTGGGAGTTCGTCAAAATTGGTCTATTTCATCTTTCGCCGATGTTCGTCGAATCAGTCTTTCACCATAGTTTGTCGCGTCCGTCTTTTGCCGGAGTTCGTTGCGTCCATCTTTCGCCGTTGTTCATCGTGTAAGTCTTTCATCAGCATTTGTCGCGACCGTCTTTCGGAGACGCTTGTTGTGTCCATTTTTCGCCAGTGTTCCTCGCGTCCATCTTTCGCCAGAGTTCGCCATGTCTGTCTTTCGTCTGAGTTTGTCACGTCTATCTTTCACTGGCGTTCGTTGCTTCCGTCTTCACCGGAATTCATCATACATCACCTCAAAAAATAGAGTAAAAAAAAAATGGGAGAGGAAGGGTGGAAGAGAAAAGAAGAAGGTGGAAGGAATGATAAAAATAAAAATAAAAAATTGATAAAGTTGTGATGTGATGTTGATATTATTTATTTTTTTTTTTCAACTGTTAGGGAGTTAAATAGAGTACATTTGTATGAGTAAAGAGTGTAGAGGAAAAAAAAAAAAAAAAGCAATATGAAAATTGACAAGGAAGTTGAAATAAGAAATGAGGATTTATTAGCAAAAAGCCAGAATATTTACACCTTTTTATATCGAGACTCTTTTCTAGTTTTCCAATACAATAGTTAAATATAATAAAAATATATTAGAATTCATTAGAGCCTGATTGGATAAAGTATCCAATTATGACTGATCAGATAAATTTTTAATTCAAAATTCAACTTAGATTAACTCAACACAACTTTCCTCAATATTTCAATGTATATCTAAATACCACACCAACTTAATTTACTCATATAATTTTAACTACTTATCAATTTCAATCAATTATTTCATATCTTTACATCAACATCACTTTTAATCACCATTTTTAATATTATTAAATAAAAACTCAAAATCCGACTCAACCAAACATAGTCATTTTTTTTTAAAAAAAAATTAACTCACTTTTTCTGTTAAATTAATCAAATTCTAAATAACTTATATTCAGTCAGACCCTCAAAGTATGTTTGACCTTTAATATCTTTGAATTACATTTAGGGGCATATTTCTTTTTGAATAACATTGTAAACCTTTTTAAAATTTTAAAAATTTGAAACTTTTAAGATTATTTAATTAATTAAGTGGAATCCTTATAGATCTCATGTAATTAATGTCTTTTTGAAATCCCATAAATCTTTAAAAGTCCAATTAAATAAACTATCCCACCTATAGTCAATTTAATTATTTCCATTAGATTCGGTCATGGATGAAATTGGGCTTTTTGACAATGAGGCTCAATTTGTATATTTCATACATGGTCTTCAAAGTTGATATTTAGCCCATTAGCATAAACAATGTTTACAACTTAAGTCCAGTATCGGTTGGTCATGTGTCAGCCCAAATATATTTTATTATACAAATAAGCATACTTTATTTTTACATTATGCAAACGTGACCTTAGTAGTTGACTTGTCCATAAATATTTAAATATACGAGTCGTTTGGATGATAGCATATTGATACAAAATTAGTAAATTGAACTTTATTTACTTCCCAAACTGATCGACCGAACAAACGAAGCGAAACGAAATTCAGTGAATTTCCAAAAAAGGTTTGACTCGTCAAATTAGCTATGGTAAATAATTTTTTTAATTAGATTTTTAAGTCCAAAAGCGCCAATTCTTAAAAAGCTTAATATAGATGTGTTTTGAGAAGAGATGATTCGTAGAATAATCTGTCAACATGAAATTTCCGAAATGTCTATATGATATGCTATATACCAAACAATTATTTACAAATAATTAATATAATTCGCTAGTCGAATAATTATGACGATTCGCTATTAGTAAATCGTTAATACAATCTGGTATTCAATTATGACAATTCACAATTAGTTATACATTAATACAATCTGGTATTCGTTATCCATAGTCATGGTAGACTAATTATGTACCACCACTTGTCATGTGGGCCAAAGTAAAGACTTAATTACATAATTAGACTGCAATATAATTAAGGTGAATTAGATTAATAGAGAAAAGTGGTTGTCTTCAATTGATGATCATATGCTAATTAATTAACCTGTCACTTGCTAATCACTTTTCATTTCTAATTTAAGTTTCTATAAGCATGTGACCCATTTGGATACATTTCACTTTAGTTAATTTTATGGTTTGGTGAAATAATAATCATTTTAAGTTTCTTTCATCATTTTCACCCTTTTTTAACACTTGGATGGTGGAGATCTAAATTAAAACCCAGCCCGGTGACATGCACGATGAGTAGCCATTCGAGTTTCGTATGTGTTTGGATCGTTTTGCTTGAAACCCGATCAAGACTCGAGCGATCTGATTAGAGTCGATCTCCAACGAAACTCGACATCTTTACGCTAGCTGCGTAATTTTTTCTCCAACAGGGCGCTACAAATTTACGCCAAAATAGATAAGAAAAGCGTTGCTTCGTTTTCCATTTTTTTTGGATAGTAAATTATTTTTGGAGTTACTGTAAAATTGTAGCATTACACTACACTTTGTTTTGTTATTTTCTTTAATTTGATGTATTATTTTCTTACAAAATCTGTACTAAGCATCACCAACAAACTTATAGTTTGGTTTCGTAATTGTATTGAGACATTCATTTGCTATATGACTATGAACAATATATGATACAAAGATTTCAATGTACAATGTCCGGGGTTTAAAGATCTGAGAGAGTTTATCCGTCGAGCCATGTTCAAGTCACACTCATTTAGAACACTTTTCCAAGAAGGTAGGACGAGAGAGTTTATCCGTCGTCAGTGCCTTGGGTTCCAAAGGAGTTTGCTTTGAAGAACTTTGTTGTGAAGCTGTGGAGGAAGGCAAAGAGACTTAGGTGTTGGAGAACAACTTAATTTAAAGTTTGCTGAGAACGGGGTGGCGGCTTCTTGGCAATGGAGGAACTTTGACTGCTTTGTTCAGAACCAATCGGTGGCCTCGAGCTTACAAAGGAAACTGGAGTTCTACCCGGCATTGTCAGCTATTGCTTCTGATATCTTTGTTCTTGCCTTCTCTTCTCTTGATTGCTCTTTTTGTTTTGATTCGGGTCCTTTTTAGTGGTTTTTGTTTTGGTGCTCCTTCGGGTAGGGGTGTCTCGTGTACTACCCCGTCGGGTGCCTCCTTTTGTGCTCTTGTTTAGGTAGGTACCCATTTCGACCAGTTGGTTGTTCGGTTGTAAAACGTTTTTTGGAGTTTATAAATTTCTTGTTTATCGAAAAAAAAAAAAAATAGTCATTGCCCTTCCAATTTTAAAAGTTGACACGCTTATCATTATAGTTTATAGATCACCACCTTGTTGCATCATTTACAATCATATGCCTTTTTTTTACCCTATCTTCAAGACTCTAACCTCGTAACCAATTCTAAGTAATTTGTCTCTCATGATTTATGGGTAAACTCTATTCAAATGGGGTTTACAATAATTGACCGCAAATTTTGAACTATCAATATTTTAAAATTTACTTTTGCTAGCTGCTAATACAATGAGTTATTTTCAAACCTAAAATTTATGTTCACTTGATCCCACATTTTTTTCCCCTTAAACCCATTAAAATAGCTAGCTTATAAGACATGTTAATTAACTTATGTTACTTTGACGTGTACCGAAACAAACCGATCGGATTTCTCACGTATAAAAAAAAAAAAAAAAAAACTCGTCTGAAAATGACTCGACTCGTACAAGTTTTCAAGCTAATTGATGTGACCAAAATTACAATCTTTTTTGTACTACTAATGACCTATGTTATACTTTAGCTTGAAATATTAGGCCTAATCGAATATTTTGGTCTCCTATTCTTGATGACTACTTGCTATAGCCTTTTGAAAGTGAATTTGACCTCACTATTATAAATTAATTAGCCCATCAAATCTTACCCTAAGCATGTACCACAAATGCTAGATTTTAGTTATTTATTTATTTATTTATTTATTTATAACAATTATCTAAGTGAAAAAAAAAAATAAAAAAATCCCCACAACAAATAAATTTCAACAACTCATGGTATCAAAGTCAATAATTTTTACAAAATAACTCTAGTACAAAATTAAAAGTCAAAAAGGTCCAAGATTTACTTTGATTTCCAAGCACAATGGATAGTAGAAAGAAAATAAATTTGAACAATCAAATAAGCTATTAATATCTTGAGTAAAAACAGAATATCAGGTCAAATTAATTGAGACCAACATATAGAATCAAAAATATTGCTTCCCATAATTACACTTGTGTAAAAACATAGTCATGATTTAAATTCAAACCAAACCAAAAAAAAATCACCTTTAATATTTCAAAAACCAATAAAATAAAATAATAAATAAAAAATAATAATAATAATAATTAAAAAAACCAATAAAATAAAATAAAATAAAATTCTTCAAAGAATAATAATTTTTTAATTGGCCCTACTGTCTTCATGACAGTCACGTTCAAAAGTAAAGCCACAAGCCTAAAGAAATTAAAAGAAGCAAAAAGCAAAAATGATTATATAGCAAAAAGAGGAAAATGAGAAAACATGGTTGGCCCATCTTTTATCATGTGTTAAAAAATAGTACACATATTTTCTCATCCTCAACCTAAATTCCAAAACCAATGCCCAAATTTTATTAATTAGCTACCTTTTACTTTTATTTATTTTTTATTACTATTATTTTTTTCTCCTCACAATATATAAAAACACCTAAGTCCCAAATTTTCTAGACCAACAATATTGTCCAACTACACTCACATATAAGTTAGACTTTGTTTTTTGTCCCTTTGCCAAACAATATAGTAACACACAAATGGGCAAAATAGCCACCAAAATGCCTAAGTTTTGCCTAAATAGGATTAGGCCCCTAGTTCGGGTCCGATCGCCGCCTACACAATCCAAGAATGAGGATAATTCGACGACGAGTGGCGACGAGAGGAAAACAGAAGAGTTTTCCGGCGTCGAGAAGGGTATGTCTGGCGAAGGAGTCGATAAATCGAGAGCGATCGGTGGCCGGAAAGTGATGGTTGTGGTCGATTCGAGTATGGAGGCTAAGAATGCATTGCAATGGGCACTTAGTCACACATTGCAAAATCATGACATTTTGGTCCTTCTCCATGTCATTAGGCCTTCAAAACAAGGTAACCTTTGTTAATTGTACCTATCTATCTTATATGATGTTCTTGATTCGGGAAATTTTTTACCCTTATGCAGTCATCGAATTTTTTTACTGTTGAATCAAGCATTGACTGTACATGATCGAAAGTTTTGTTAATATATTTATCTATCTATATGATGTTCTTGATTCGGGAAAATTTTTTACCCTTTTACAGTCATCGAGTTTTTTTTACTGTTGAATCGAGTGTTAGACTGCACATGATCGAAAGTTCCCTTGATGGGATATGAATAATTAATATGATCAATTTTTTTTATCAAAAATTTTGTTTTTAACAGGTGATCAATCAACTATGGATACTAAAGTACCTGAGTTCATCAATACCATGAAAACTTCATGCCAAGTTAAGAGGCCAGAGGTGTGTTAATTAGTACAATTTTTGCTATTTTTTTTACATCCCAAAATTGCAAATGCTACAAGTTGTTATCCTTATTTATTTAATTTTTTTAATTTTAATAGTAACATGCATATAGTTGTGGAGATTATTTAATTTAGATAATTTAAAAAATTCTAATTTTACGCGAATCTAGGTGGTGGTTGAGGTGGCGGTGGTGGAAGGGAAAGACAGAGGGGCGGCCATAGTGGAGGCAGCCGGGCGGGAGGGGGCAGCATTGCTAGTGGTCGGGCAGAAGAAACGGTCGGTGACATGGCGGCTGATGCTGATGTGGACAGGGGCCGGGCGGGGATCGGCTGGCGGTGTGGCCGAGTACTGTGTACAGAATGCAGGCTGTATGGCAATTGCTGTGAGGAGGAAAAGCAAGAAGCTTGGTGGCTATCTCATCACTACCAAAAGGCAGAAGGACTTTTGGCTCTTGGCATGATTTTTTCTTCTCTTTTTTTTTTCTATTTTTTTTTTTATTTTTGTTATTATTATTATGGAATTAGGGATTTTTAATGAGTTTAGTTTCTTGATTTGATGGTGGAAAATGAGATGGATTGTACAAAATTAAAAA